CAGGAAATATTGAAAACCTATTACAATGCACATTTTTGTAAATGAACAAAGATATGAAAGAAAATTGAAGCAGTCATTTATTCGTGCCCATTGTAATACTTGCAGAGATTGAACTATTTAGTAATGTGAAAGTAACTAATTCTCACATGCATCTTATTGAATCCATTGTATTACTTCATTAACAAGTACCTTCCGCTATATAAACATATTCTTTAACACACATTGGGATTTGACCCAATCTGCACGAAAACATGCGCGGAAATTTAAAATCGAAATTTGAGAAAATAATAAAGGAAATTTTATATCTTGCACGAATTAAGGTTTTGATAAAGCTTCATTTTAATCATTCACCAGATTAAGTTATTGGTTTATTGTAATATTTGTTAAAAAAAATATTTAAAAAAACTTAAGTTTTAAACTTTTATAATCTATACGAATTTTACGTATTTTCATATTGACCCAAATATCATCGATGTAAAAAAGAAAAATTTCGGTATTAAAATACTGTAAATGCATATAATTACACGGCTTTACGAATTTACTCTACTTTTAATTAAGTTTTCTCTATTTTTAATTCCACTTGATTTTATAATTTTACTCTATTTTTAATTACACTTGATTTTATAATTTTACTTTATTTTCTTATTAAAACATAACATTTTGTTAGAGAGGTAGCGGTTAGATATTTGACATTCTCTTATTTCTTCCTTCAAAATTAAATTAGGAAAACGCCTTTTCTGTTTCAAAATATTGTTATTTAATGGATTTTATTAAAAAAATGGTCTGCAATATTGTTCATGTGATATCATATGTGTTTGTATATGCAAATATAACCATGTATGTAATGTATGCAAACATATTTGAATATTATTAACGATTTTATTAAAGATTTATGCATATACATTTTTGGTATATGTTTAAATAATATAATTAAATTATATCATTTAAAATGAATTAAAATTACAATCAAATAGCCAAATATTATTGGCAAATTTTTTATATATGTTTAGATTATATAATTGAATGAATTAAAGTATATCATTTAAATTGAACTAAAATTATAATCATATAGCTGGGTAAGAAATTAAGGTAAAATAACAAAGCCAAATATAATTAATAATAAAGTAAAATCGTAAAGCCAAATGTAATTAAAAATTGAAGTAAAATCGTAAAGCAAACTGTAATTAGAATTAGAGTAAAATCATAAAGAAAATTGTAATTGAAAATAGAGTAAAGTCATGAAGCCAAATTTAAGTAAAATCATAATTCCCAAATGCATTTTTTTTCAATCCAAAAATTTGCTAATAATACTAATATTTTGTTCAACATTGCTACTAATAAATTTACTCAAAATCAACTCTAAAGAGATAGATTTTTTATTGACAAAATCGTGATCTATATCATTTTGATTGTATTCATATATCCAAATTTTAGTCAAATCATAATTCCCAAATGCATTTTTTTTCAATCCAAAAATTTGCTAATAATACTAATATTTTGTTCAACATTGCTACTAATAAATTTACTCAAAATCAACTCTAAAGAGATAGATTTTTTATTGACAAAATCGTGATCTATATCATTTTGATTGTATTCATATATATAACTTACATGATGATAAGAAAGAAATGTTAATTAATAATTGTAACAAAAAATAGAGTAAAATCATAAAGTCAAGTATATTTAATGAAAAATAGAGTCAAATCATAAAGCCAATTCTAACTAAAAATAAAGTAAAATCATAAACCCCAAATGCTCTTAAAAATTAAAAAAAAACTAAAAACTTGCTAATGAAACAAATATTTCAGTCACCAATGCTACTGATAATTTCGATCAAAATCAACTTCAAAGTAGACGATTTTTGATTGACAAAATAACGATCTATAATATCATTGATTGTGTGCTTATATCATAACGTACATGATGATTAGGAAGAAATGTTAATTAATAATTGTAACAAAAAATAGAGTAAAATTATAAAGTCAAGTATATTTAATGAAAAATGGAGTCAAAATTAAAGCCAATTCTAACTAAAAATAGAGTAAAATTCTAAAACCCAAATGTAATTAAAATCAAAAAATTTGCTAATGATACAAATATTTCAGTGACCAATGCTACTAATAATTTTGACCAAAATCAACTTCAAAGTAATCGATTCTTGATTGACAAAATCGTGATCTATATCATTTTGATTGATATCCATATATCATAACGTACCTGATGATTAGGAAGAGACGTGTAGGAAGAAACTTGTTCGATCACAATAACAAACAGCACAGTAATAAAACGCTATGATAACTTATTATACTTTTCCGCACGCTTATGAATTTATTAATAATCGTATTCTTTATTGTTGCAAGTGCGACGATTGACACAGCACTATATGTTAAGGAGTTCTTGGCGTCCCGATGGACGCACCATTGTTTCGTAATGGTGTCCGCACGCATCGAATTGACCACTACTTATGATCGACTTTAATAAATATCACTTATATAACATGTTAAATGTTAATAGTTAACTATTAATAAACATCAATAGTGTTTTACGGAATTATTATTTTAATATTATATATCGTTTTGTTAAAATATATCGAGTTTTAAAACACCTGTTTTATGTTAGAACCATAGGATAAACAAGTATAAATTATAGAACTTATTTACAATATTATCAATTTATTATATACATTAGATACATTTGATCCTGTTTTTGTGCGGTTGTTTGTGCGGACCCTCTAAAAGAAATCATGCAAAAAAATATTCGAAAATTTTATAAATTCTTACATATCTTATGTGACGATATTTTTTTTTAACGTCGAAACCGGGACGTTAATTTTTAGTTATGCTAATTCGAAACGGCGGAGGGGCTTCAAAATAACAATTCTATTTAAGGATACAATAAAAACAGATTTTTTTATTGTAAGAACTTTATTATTCTATTATATGTAATACTTTTTTATCTATGATATTCCATTATATCTTATATTTTTTATCTATGTTTTTTTTCACTTTCGAGCCTTGTATTGTATATATACAATTTTCTTCATAATCAATTTGAAAAAATTAGTACTTGTTCGTTTTTAATAATTTTTGTTAGTTCAACCATTATTTTTTGAAAAACCGGAAGAATCCGGGATAAAAGATTTAAATCCTGGTCAAATATTGCTTTTAGAAAATCCCGGGTCACAAGGTGGAAATCCAGAACTATCCGTGTCAAATCGGGACGCATGGTCACCTTATACATATAATAAACGACTTTGTACAATATATTGTAACATTTTTTATTTATGAGGTGGATAGAGACCGCATAAAATAAGTAGGACTTGAAAAAAACATCAATGATTTATGGAATAGCATTTTTTTGAAGAACATAATTATATAGGACATTTTAAAATTAAAAATATTTAATTTTGATCACTTGAATCGTGGATAAAACTCTGCATACGTATTTTAAGCGAGATTCTTAATGAAAAGCACAAAAAAACATACACAAACAAAATTGCATAAAAATGGACCGCACAAAAACAGGATTCACTGATAATATCAGTTATAAATTCTTCATACGCCTATATTTCAATTTTTTTAATTAAAATATCTTAAACTAAATACGTAGTTGATCCAAATATTGTTATGAAATTTATAGAGAAAAAGCTTCACGTTAATAAATCATTTAAAGTTTTTTTTATAAAACTTGGTGGTGATAATCATTGTCACTGACCGTACTTATGTTGTAAACATGTTTTTGTATATAAAACAAATAACTAATATGAAATAAAGAATTTCCGCATATCAAATAGAGCTTTAGTTACAGTATATTATTTCAATTTTAAATTTCTTTATGCAACCCACTTAGTGATCGTTAAATTTGATGAATTGCATTACGTGCAAATTCGGTTTCCTAAGTCGCGTGCGACACTGAGACTAAAAATAAAATCAGATTGTGTAAGCAATCAATGTTTAGAATTTTTACTCGAAGATTTTGCGCAGAATCGTTGTAATTAGAGGAAGGGTTAATTAAGTATGTTAAACAAGTGAGAATTAGTTTTCAAAAATATGTTTTTATCTTTGCGGTAGACGTTTTTATTTGAACATTCAACAACACTTTTAAAATTCAATAATTATTGTCGTTACAATGTAAGAACTCGAGATGTAAATGAGAATTAAGAACTAAAAATAAAATCCGTGGAAATCACTAAAAGAGAAGTTTTTTTTTGATAATTTTAATTAAAACCATTTTGGGGCAATAAATAAAAAAATTGCAATGATTCATTCATTTAAACAGTAAATTTGATTATATATACATAGTTATGATATAATATTAAAAAATAAATATTGACTTGATTTTTTATGAAGCATCAAAAAATTTCATTTTTTATATGTAGTGAGTATAAATATTTTTTGTATGGAATTTTTCACATTCAAATTTTTTTTGAATTTTGTTATCAGTAATCTGTAATTTTGAACATTTATTGACGCAAGTATTTTTTTTAAATTTATTTAATTTAACTGGAACAATATTAATTATAACAATAATTCATGTTTAAAAACTGAAATTATAAAAATATTAGGTTGTCAAATATCTCCCTTCCGCTTTTTTGCTCTTGGTTTATAATACATAAAGGCGGAAGGGAGATATTTGACAACCTATTATTATAAGCATATATATATATATATATATATATATATATGATTATAAACATATCTCTCTTTTGAATAGAGGTAATCTTCATTATTATTGCAATTTACGATTATTAATGAAGCGGTTTATTTTATGGGCAAAATTTATACCATTTTGTAGAGTTATGGTTTTGGTTAATTTTATTTAATAATATTAGGTAATAATTTGATTATTTACTTTTTATTATATATACATATATATAAATATATATATATATATATTATTAGTAAAAATTTGAATATTTTTTTTGGAATATGTAAAACTTTTCAACTCTAAAACACAATACTCTAAATTTTTTCGTTTATCCTATTTCTCTACCTACTCACCCGTTCCCATCGGTCCTGCGTTCTTCCACTTGGAATTGCTGCATGGCTTCGGTTAACTTGAACAAATAAATATAAATGTTTTGCTTTTTCTGAGTTTCAGTCAAAACATTCGTGTCCCTGTGCCAATAGTATTGTTGTATCCACTAGTCCGTGGCCGTGCTAACTGTTCCTAATCACTCGACTCCTACGTGCAATCATCGGCACCAGAGGTCATATCATCGGACTAATTGATCCCTCTTTAAGTCTCTGACTCACTAACTATAGCCGATGGGCGATACACTTACGGCTACGGGTCTCTTATGTTGGGAAGGAATTGATCTGTTCTAGTAAAGAATGATAATTTTTTATAGGCTTGTCGAGGAAATTCACATCATGAAACTATGTGCTATTTGCCATATAATGGATTCACTCAGAAATATTTTAGCGTAATTAGATTCTTATAATTAGCTATTGATAACTTGTTAGCAACTTTCAAGTACTAATTGGTTCAAAAACAATAAACTTTTCTATGAGCGAATATTACCTAAACCGATATTTCACAATATAATATTTTCTTTACTTCGCGCATAAACAAGATTTAACAAATTCATCCACTTAAAATTTGAACAAAAGTAATAATGTATATTAAATTATTAGTGAGATAGAAAAGAGAAAAATGTAATTAAAAAGTATTATTTCCTACTACTATATGGTACAAATTCATAATGGAAATTATGGGCAACAATATTGTCACAAGATAATATTATCGCGAATACTAAGAAGTATTTCTTAATTTGTTACACTCTTTTAAAAAAAAACTGCAATTTTCAATATGTATAGCTTATGCTTTGGGCCTTAATAAATTACAAGAGCAGGCGATCGATTTTTGCGAGATTAATTTGGAAAATTCATATTTTAATCGTGCACAACTGTTGTTGAGGGTTAGAAAATACAAAAAAAAAACTAGTGGGGTGCATGGCATCGTTCCTTAAGACAAATTGCTGGAACCGTAATTAAAAATCTTGAAACCCAAAAAAATTTACACAAAATGTGTGTATACATTATTAAAATCTCTGTAAAATATCTGATAATTTGATGTACATATGTCCAATGAACATTTTTGACCACCAAATGACATTTTTTAAACTTATTTTTATTGAGCTTGACCTGATTTTCCAAAAATTTAATCAGTTCTTCATCTTTCAATACAAGTAAAATGTTTTTTGAATTATTAAAATCGGACGCTCCGTTTACTTAAAAACCGAGTTACCGTTTCTGCCACTTTTTGCCCCGTATCTTCGCAACGGCTAGACCTGCCTTCGCCAAAAATTAATCAGCACGTCTCCTTATCAAAACGAATCGAATGTTTTTAAATCGAAACGATCGAATTATTCAAATCGGTTGATCCCGAATTCGTCGACGAAAATTTGTATCCGCACACACACACGCATCAATTTTTTCTAAGATATGCCAAAATATTCAGAAACCTTTGAAACGTTAAGATATATAAAAATTTTCATTTTCGATTTTTTTGCGATTACTATAACTTTGCCCTACGGGAAGTTAAAAATTATTAAATACACTTACAGGTATGACTAAGAATATTGTATATCCCTAGTCATTAAAATAAAGTATTGTTGAATAAATCTTAATGATTTTGTAACTTTCTGATTTTTTTAGTATTACATCTATATACGTGCTTGTTTGGTTGTGAAAAAAGATAAAGGGGCCAATTCTCGGATAAATTAGAAATATTATGCCGACGCTATATGTCACGGGCTATGATTTGTTGTGAGATCAGGCGTTTTGCACATAAAACCTTATAAATAAGACATCTGAAAATTGTAGTTATGATAAGGTTAGTTTTTGAAGTTTATGCGTTTTACAGTAAGTTTAGTTTTATGAGTAAAACTCCTGATAGTACAACAAATACATAGCTTTCCAACAGTTCGTTACTGTCAATTCATACGAAGATAGGCCCGTAACATAGCATTGCCATAACATTTCGCTTTGTTTAAGTTTCGCTTTGTATTCCTAATTTTGCTATAATGTCGTTAAAAGCACATTATTACAAAAACACTTATTTCATGAGAATGTAAGAGACGTAAAAACAACCGTAACTGAAATTAATCCTTTTTGAAATATGTTGTAGTATGTTTTCAAAAAAAAAAAACATTTTATTGACTGTGAATGGAAGAATAACCAAACAATTAGAATTTTAATTACTCATGACGAGAACTTGTCAAAAAAAATTACATCAATTTTAAATATGATAATATAAGTTTACAACTTAAACAAGCTGCGGAAATATACATGATGATGTAACTTACAGCTAAAAGTAGAGAAAAAATGAGTCATTTATTATTACTAACTTGTGACACAACTTTCCATATAACAATTCCATGATAATTGATTGTGAGATTAAATAAAAATATTATGATTAAGATATAAGTAATCGCAGAGCTTTTATTTGCAGATGCGTCAGGAATATTTTGTCTCTAACAACTAGTTATATAAACTCTAACAAAGGCATATATGTTCAGATGAAAAAAAAATATATTGTTTACTACTCTATTAGTCAACCGATCTGAAATACAAACTTTTCTTTTATTATTCATTTTTAAAAAATGCTTTAAATGGCCGAATTTCCATTTGGAAATTGTATGTTTAGTTACTCCACTATATTTTGTATATTTTCATATTTTATGTTTAAAAAATCGTTTGAATAGTATATAATGTAATTATTTACAGCCATTCACAAACACAATTACTTACAATAAGCACCGAGCTATTCTCAGATAAACATTAATTTTTAAATAAACAACTAGCTTTGGTATTGAAATTATCTTTGATACGATTTCAAATATTTGAAATTTATTTTACATTTTATACTTCGTCTAGGTTTATTGCTTTTATTTCTTTATTTCACTAAATGTTTATGTACAAAATTTATTGAATGTAAAGAAAGCTCTTCGAAAAATCATATTGAAACTGAACAAATTATCATGTAACACTAGCTTTTCACATAATTTAAATTATATTAATACTTAATATAATATATTATTAAAATTTATTTAATTTTTTAGTGTAAATTAAAGCGCGTGATGAACCGATAAACCGTTTTGTTCTTATTTAAATTTGCATCTTTATTCAACGTTGTCTTGTCGCTATTATTATCAACTTAGTTTATCAGGCATTGATTGGGTATTATTCTAATAGGATAACGAACAGAACTCTCACCTTACTATTTGATTTTAACCGCAAGTATAAATTGCGTTTATATTAATTCATATTATTATTACACAGTTTTATTTTTCACTATAAATCACAACTATCACAACTGAAAATTAAGTCTGCTCAACGCCGTACGTTGCGTTAAGTAATCCTCAGTATTCAAGGCGAACTGCATCATGCACCGCAATCATCTGTTTTGATTCGTCTCGGAAATAATTGATCTAATTATCCTCAAAGCGGATATGTATCAATATTGGAAATGAGTAATTCTTGACTTTCATGGATTTTGTATTGTATTTGTTATTGAAACTAGTTTTTCTAAGGAGTTTTAATATCAACCACCAACCATAAAATCAACATATTTTTTATTAACACGAATTTGTAAGATTAAAATAAGTGAGGTGCTGATCATTTTATTATGGTCAATGTGTGCCAGTCGTAGACATTATAATACTATAGATGACCCGACAGACGTTGTCCTGTACCCATGTCAACAATTTTTTAATATAATATACCAATATTTACCGTTTACCTAAAAATAATTATTGTTTTTTAAATTACTCTTCACGCCAAAATGCATATACGTACATTTATAATATGAGCGATGTTAAATGTGGAACTGCTTTCAATAAAATGATGAGTCTCAATTCTTACACTATATCGGAAATGGAAGTCTTTTAAACCGTGTAACATAACCGTAACCATAACATAACACTGGTACTTCATGTTGGATTGAATTAATAAAAAAAATTATTATTTAAGATATCCAAAATTGCATCTTCTCCTAATCTATATATGGAGGGCCGAATTGTATATATTCATCTTTACTTTCCTATTTGTTGTTATAAAGTGAAATTTTTTCGAATTTTAAAAATATTGTGGAAAGATTAGTAAAAGATGCAAAGAAATTATATACTGAAAAAAACTATATTGAAAATTTATGCTTTTAATATCCGAATTATCTGCTCGGTATCGCCAGATGCCTGAGCGAATGACGAAGTTCGTTGTGAAAACGGCGTTCTTTTTGAATATTATACTTTAAACGCATAGCTCAATCAATTCTTTGGGCGCTAGATGAAAGTCTAGTGTTTCAAAGTCGATTGTAGTAAACGCTTGCGTTAGTATTCTATATACTCTGCACATTTTATTCAAATTGTGCGAATTTGAACATTCGCTTCATTGCGTTGTTTTAAGAAAATGAAAGATCAGCGAAAGCAGATTTTTCAATCTCACACACAATGAAATATTCATATTTCAAAAATTAAAAAAAAAAAAAAAAAAATAAAAATAGGGCCGGCCGTGGTCCCGTGGTAAGAACGTGAGCTAGCAAATCCTAGTCCCGGGTTCGAATCCAACTGCGGTCGGTTCGGTATCAAAGCAGCTTGATACCAAATTTTCACTTGAAATCATAGATTTCAAATATGATCTCAAGTGAAAATGGCCTTTCGTGGGCATTGCTGCAGCATACGTATATGCAGAGAGGGCAATAGTTGTAGTAGCAACATGCCTCTTACAAGAAAAAGGTACTCGGATTGTATCCCTATTCTCAAAAAAGGAAAAAACAAGGACTCTGACTCTGTCCACCCAGACTGAGTTGGAGAATAAGTCAATACACCAGGAGAACCTTCGGAAGAAGTTAAAATTCAAGTAATAAAAAGGAAAAAGTAATGATCATGTAATATGTTAGGAAAAAGTAAATATATTTGTAATACGTAAGAAAAAAGTAATATGTATGTAAGAAAAAAGTATTAAGTATCTTAAAAAAAAAATGTAAGAAAAAAAGGTAATAAAGTTAAAAAAAAAAAAAAAATCTTGTGTTGGCGCTCCCTAAGGCGTGAGCTCGTATTTTCCGCATGCATCGCATTAAAGGCAGGATCGGTTCTGATTAATACTTAGTTTCATATTTTAAGTAAATTAATTTTTAATATGTGTATCATTCAATCTGCCATACATATACTCTATCTTATATTTTTTTAATTTCTGTCACATTTCAGCTACTTTTTGGCAATAATAATGTAAACATTTCATTTTTCTTCTTCATAATTATAAATTTATTATACATATTCTAATGCAAAACAATGACATGTCGTTTTTTGCAATTTTTTCCATTTATTTCTACAATATTGCACATACATCCCAGTACTTTTAACAAACTTCAGAAAGATTTATCAAAATCCAAATAATGGTTTAGGAGGAGTACAGCTAGTGCTTGTAATTTAATATGAACTTAATTTAATTGCAATAAAGCTCAAATTGATTCTACGTTTTAGTTAGAAAACGTTTGTATGTGAAAAAGAAAGGGCTGTTTTTAGTGTTTTCCCGGCAATTTTTCGATTTTTTCTCGCCTTAAGAACCATCCTTGGACTTCAACGAACATTTTAAAAAAAGAATTGGCCAAATTGGTCGAGGCGTTGTTGAGTTATGCGCTTACCAACACATTTTGCGATTCATTTTTATATTATAGAAGATAGATATAGTATTATATCATTGGCACTTTCATTTTTTCTCGAACTTTATTCAACTACTTTGAAATTAAACTGCGTAATCAAGATAAAATATGGGGGTTTCATACCAAAAGGAAAAAGAAATGTCTAAAAGGAAAAAAATGCTATAATTTTAATACCCCAATGGTCTTGGGGTCTACTTACGATCATCTACTGTGACACTTATCCATGCTAATGATGAAGAACCTAGAACATCGAACATCTTTTGCCTACCATAGATTGAGAGATCAACGTTAAAAGTGAAGACATGATCCTCAAATTAGGCAACTCATGAAAATACCACGGTTTGTAAATTCTATGAATGAAATCGAGAAGAAAACCAGGGAGTCATTCTTTCTGGTCGTAGCAAATTTTTTGGAAAACAAAAAATTCAGTAACTTTATCAAATAAAGAAGATCTTGGATGCAACATGAGCATCAAAATTTACCAACACTCCCATTGAGAATGGTTTAAAAGCAGGTTGAGAGAATCCATCAAGACATCAGGACTAAGATGGTGGAGCGATATCAAGGGAGATCGACGAAATCAGTCAGACTTTGTTCATCCTCGAGAATTATATAAAAAGACTTTTGAAGGCATAAAATAAAATGCGTTATTTTTTATAAAAATTTGAGGTAAAACTGGCACATTATAACATCCCAGGAAAAAAGTTTACTGTCACACTGTGTTATATATACTTATTTCTATAATGCTGCATTTTTAGTATTTCAATTTGTTTTTCTGAATTGTATTAAACAAACAGTGGTCTCTATGTGGGCGACGTAATGAGAAGTAGCAAATTCCAAAATTATGGTTATCGACAATCTCTCATGGTAGAGATTTGATCTGTTTTTGAATACCAAAATTAAAGTAGTATACATTTTGTTTCAGTAGTTAAAAGCATAGATTTGTTCCTAATGCGCCCCTGTAATCAACGCCTGTAAACTGAGCACTGTAGTGATAGAATTTCTTTAAAAGTAATGGAAAACAAATTAATCGATGAAGAGTTCAATAACACATATCATAAACATTTTATATTCAAGTCTTTGTTTAAACTTGATCGTTGTTGTGTTTAGACGTGAAAATGATCACATGTAAGGTGATATCTTGATGAGCAATTTCAATGGTTCTTTATTTCTGTGATAAATATTCACATAGCAATAGTAAGAAGAAACTAGCAAGATAAGGCTTAATTACTAGTGAGGCGCATGGCATAGTGCCTTAAGGCAAATTGCTGGAACTTTCCGTACCAAAAATTATTTTTTTTAAAAAGATTAACATTTTTAAAAAAAAACTCTTTGAAAAAATGAGATTTTTGAGAAACTATAAATTTTTGACAAAAAATTATTTTTAAAAAAGACTTTTCGAAGAAAAATTTATTTTGAAATATTTTGGAAATTCTGAACTTTTTTTTAAAGCATTCGTACTGCTTTAACTGCATAGAGACGAAATATTGAAGCTCGTGAAAAATTAGAAATCTGAAAAATTAGATTTTTGAGAAACTATAAATTTTTGACAAAAATTTACTTTTTTTTGAAAGACTTTTTGAAGAAAAGTGTATTTTGAAATATTTTGGAAATTCTGAACTTTTCTTCAAAGCAATCGTACTGCTTTAATTGCATAAAGACGAAATATCGAAGCGCGTAAGCGCCGCGCCGCCGTCTAACGGATAAGCATTGGTACGGAACCCATAGGAATGTAAACAAAATTTATACTTATTGTTAAAATCTCTATAAAATATCTGATAATTTGATGTGCATATGTCTAATGATCATTTTTGACCGCCAAATGGCATTTTTTTTTACTTTTTTTTACTAGATCTCCGAAACCGCCAGACCTGCCTTCATAAAAATTTGATCAGTTCTTCATTTTGTTAATACAAGTAAAATGTTTTTTGAATTATTCAAATCGGACGCTCCGTTCTCTTAAAAACTGAGTTACCGTTTTTGGCACTCTTTGCCCTATATCTTCGGGACGGCTAGGCCTGCTTTCGCCAAAAACTAATCAGCATGTCTCCTTATCAATACAAATGGAATGTTTTTTTGAATTATTTAAATCGCTTTATCCGTGTTCCCGAAATCGTCTACGAAAATTTGTATCCGCACACACACATACATGCACACACACAGACACGCACATACATCCATTTTTTCTAAGGTACGCCAAAATATTCAGAAACCTCTGAAACGTAAAGATATATAAAAATTTTCATTTTCGATTTTTTTGCGATTGCTATAACTTGTCCTACGGAAAGTTAATAATAAGAAGTTGCTGTTTCGAAGTTCGTACCGATTTCCATGAGCATTACTTAATTTTGGTTATTTAATATCAAGTGCTTAAATTTTTACCGAGTATCGAGTTTGGGTCGCTTAATTGTTCTCAATGGAAAAGAACTTAATCGATACAGAGTTCAATAACACATATCAAAAACATTTTATATTTAAGTCTTTGTTTAAACTTGATCCTTGTTGTGTTTAGACGTGAAAAGATATCACATGTAAGGTGATATCTCGATGAGCAATTTCCAATGGTTATTTGTTTCTGTGATAAATATTCACATAACAATAGTAAGAAGAAACCAGCAAGATAAGGCTTAAAAATAATAATAAGAA